GGGAACCGTGTGGGTAGACGGTGGTGAAGAGTGGACTAGGGTTGACGCAGAGGGTGACGAAGAAATGACCGAGGTTGAGAGAGTAGGTAGAGAGAAGCAGAAAGACAAAGAAAAGAAGGGTCTAGGAACGAATGGGTGTAGAGAGGGAAGGCTGGGTGAGGTTGAGGTTGCTTTGAGAAGTCTGGAGGCACGAAAACGTGGGTATATATGAATTATGTGAATTCGACACAGCTCTTAAATTTGAGTTATGATTCATTGTTAATAGTATCTATTAGAAAAGCTATGGTAATGTTCCCCTGACGAAAAAACCGCCTCACACTAATATGTTCAATACTAAGCGATCTCTCTCAAAACCTACCTTCTTTCGTTTAACGAATCCCATAGAGATTCGTGAATTAATAATATCGGGAGACATTCCTTCAGCTCTGTCGCTATGTCAAAAGAAGTTTCCACGAGTAGTCTCTTCTGCCGCGGGCCATGAATGGACGACGCCGCAATCGATTGAAATGTGCTTTAAACTTCACTGTCAGCAGTTTGTTGAGATTGTGCGAGCAGGCGAAACTACAGAGGCTTTGTCGTTTGCGCAGGAAGTCCTAAGACCCTATACTGAAATTGATGTAGCGAACGAGGACAAATATGCGAGTGCACTAAGAGGAGTAATACCATTGATTGCGTACCGCGAGCCCGAGACTTCACCAGTCGGAAGCCATTTATCGCAGACGTGTCGGGATAAACTGGCAGATGATGTCAATAGTGCAATATTATGTGAGTTATCGGGAAATGAATTAAATCCGAATATGCTCTTGCTTGAATACGACGGGTATCAAAGAACGATAGATTAGTAATCTGTATTGCATGATGTGTGTTGAAAGTGTAGTTATGTATCTTTGACAACCTGTGTATGAAATGCTGGTGAATGTGTTCACCCTATCTTATTCCCAGGTTGTATCTATTCCTTGTGCTAATTGTCATTTAATCATCATAGCGTTCTATAACCTTCCCAGCCAATCAGCAATAGAACGTATTGTTCGACAATCAACAGTAATTCGTGATAATTTGCATAGCGAAAGCTCTACGAAAGACAAGCGGTTGTCAAAGGTATGGGTTTCCTATGAGAATATACTTAACATGTAATAACTGATATGTCATAACTTGAGTGTTCTACGAATCAATTATTATCATACAGATATATCAAAAGTGGCAGTTCTCTTCATTTATCCAAGAGGGATAAAGAAGAACTCGTATTCCAGACGTGGATCAGCAACAATGATGTTTTTTTTTGTCTTTGAGTGTTTATATAAATATGAACATTTTGGATGATGGCATTAGAGCGAAAGCATTGGTCCAAAAGACCATACAAAGTTGACGCGCATTAGGTTGGAGTTGACAAAAGACAGTTGATTCTGTCTCTCTTGGTGTGAAGAGTTCAGAATCCAGGGAATGTTGGTGAATTGCATGAATGCTTATTCAAATTGTACAATACTAAGTTCATAATAAATTCATCACAAGTAAATTTGTAAATACTGGTACGAACATAAGACGAACAAACAACCAACCGGGTTGGTATCAAAAATAGCAATATCAAATATGTGAATAAGAGTCTACATGTAAATGGGCGACATCTTTTTTAGGCAACTGATCTGCATGAAAATGTTAATGGTGTGGCTGAGCGATTCAATATAACCGGGTATTAAAGATAACATCTTAGTGTTCTCGGTAAGAATTTAAGAAAAGTATAATAATTACTGTCCCCTATGCTTACGTCAAGACACTTATCAAATTAATGCATTCAAGCATATCCATGACATGATGTAAAAAATTTGTTCGGGTGATGAACCTGAGAATATTAACTGCAGAAATTAACATTAAACGAGTCTTCACACAGATTTTTAGGTCTGTATTTAGATATAAAATGCGGGTGTCTAATATTTATCGAAAAGCACGACGGAGAGAGCACAATAATAATTGTCTTCATTGAGGAGCGAAATATTATTCCTGATTTAACCGTAAATCAGATCGTTAAAAAATTGTTGCTAACAAGTCTTTGAAAGTAATGGAGAAAATTCCGATATTGAAACTATTAATAAATTTGCTTGTTTAAAGCATTAATTGATATACATGCTGTTCAAAAAAGAATGGCACAAGCGGTTTTCTTTTAACTTATCACACATTGCTCCAAATAATGTGATTAAACTTTATTTGAAAGCTTAAAAGATGCTGATTACTGGTTATGTCATTTAAGTATGGAATGTAATTACCTTTATTTTCTACAGTCAGTTCACATCGATACTTTATTGAATCTATTAAATTAGTTAGGACAGTATTTGGAATATTGTCCCACTCTTCAATCATAATTGTTTCAACTCCTTGCTTGTAGTTTTTGATTTACGTCTTCCCACATTTGTTTTAACTATGTTCCGATAAGAATAAGTTCAAGCCTGTTGGAAGGCCAGTCCAAAACCATTGTTTAAAATGAAATTCCGTTGTAGTACGCGAGGTATGCTTATTCTGTTGGAAGCGCCATCTGCTTTGCAATCCTGGAAGGCGTTGTTCTAATATTCCAACATAAAAAGTTGACATGGATAATGTGACTGAAGCAAAAGAGACGAAATTACCCCGTGCCATATGGCAATCTTTCAGCATTGGGCGTATTGGCCTTGCGCTTTTGTGCTTGTGATTTGGAACAATTGGAAAGATGGTTTATGAGTGAAAATTGTCCGTTTCCAATTGTCGTTTAAGTGTTTTCTGGCCCATATTACCCCGATTTTCTTTGTGAGCATTGAAGTGGTTAGGGGAAGGTTATTTTTATAACCATGTTCAGTCAAATGACGTTCTACAGTTATGCGAGAGACCATAGTTTTTCCCTCTTTTAACTTACTCGCAATTAATTTGGTAGAAATGTCGGGTTTCTTCGAATGTACTGGTCAATTCTACGAGCATCAATATTACTTAGAATTTTTTTGCGACCATTTTCCCCTCTGTGCTTTACATCTCCTTTTTTTTTAATTTTTTTTAAGTTATAACAGATTGTTCTTATTGGAATCTCAGTCAATGATTGTATTTTAGGGGCTTCGCGTATTCCCTTCTCCCAATAATATAATATTGTTTGTCGCTGTCTTTCTTTAACGGACTGAGACATTTTACACTTTTGTTTTGGATAAAGCGCGAAGTAAGTTGAAAATAAGTTTGTTTGTAAATAATAGTCCATTACATAAGCTTTGTTTTGATCCATTAATTACGCGTTTATTTTGAAAATTGACCGAGTTACACATGTATAAATTATTTGTAAAAATTTGTGCCATTTTTTTTGAACACCACTGTATTGACGCTGACTACATTCTGCATACAGCAGATTGCGACACGTTTTCGAAATATGATTGGATGTTGATATTACTTGTAATTATAATACGTATTGGCGAACAAAGCACATATCATCCGAAAAGCTCACCAAATGGTGGATCTACGGATCGTAGCTATGAACTCCAGACTTCGTTAGTCCAAAGGAACCGAAGAAGCCTGATCTCAAATTTCAATGGGCAGCCCAAATTTTCAAGTTTGATCGGTATTTACCCGTAGTAAGAACACTTTATTAAGACGGTTATTATGTTGTTCAAAGAAGCGGAATCCCCATAAGAGGAAATTACGTTTGCATTCTGCGACGACTGGAAGAGCAGCTTTTAATTTTAGATTATTCGAATTGGTAAACATGATCAATATCTATTTCAGAGCGTTAATATCGTATCTAATTGGAAGCAAGGAAAACCATTAATTAAATCGAGTGTATAATTGGAAAATTACAAGTTAATTCAAAATTAGGAAATTATGCTAATGCTATGCCAACACGTACCTGCAGCCAAATAACTGTTTTATTCAATAAGTAAGACTTTACACGCTCCTTTTCGAGACATGATAACGATCTTACATCACTATGATAAATAGTATCCCACGCGTTATTGAGAACCAAGTCTTAATACAGTTGAAAATTCCATCGCACTTAGACATAGTCAAACTCCCTATTCGTAAAAACGGTTTACCGGTGACATTAAATGGTTAACTATACTAAAAAATGCAAGTAGAAAAAGCTTCCGGTACAATAAAGGGTTTAACTTTTCCCAAAGTCACTGATTGAAAAGTCCAGATTGCATATGTACACATGAAGTCTGTTTGCTGCTCAGATTCACTAACAGCCCTTGCTTCTCACCCTTTAGCTTTCTTTCCTGTCATTCTCTGTCTTCCCTGTTGTCATGCAAACTATGTTTTTCGCTATAAAGATTACAACGCACAATTTTGCTTGAATATACATTCAGACGATATGTTCAGGGCCGTTTTATTTCAAAGACTGATAAAGGTTTGTTTACTACAATGCAAACGCCATAGTTTTTTTACGTCAACTTGTAATTTAACTATAGTCCAGAAATTACGTCAAAAATGGCTTACCTCGGTATAAATAACTCAGACACGTATATATACCTAGACGCTTTTATCCATCGCACACGTATCGCTCTTTCTCCTCTTCTCTTCCAAAACGCAAATACTACATTTCTAAAAGTTAAATATACAAAAACAATGCTCTGTCGCCGCTCCACATTACACTTATACGAACCGAACGAACAAGTTATTAACGGCAAAGCTTTTGGCATTTAGTAAAGATCGTTTATCGACCACATAACCGATGAGAGAGTTCGAACTCATGTAACCATACAGACCGAACAAACAAATCGTTAACGGCGCAACTCCTAACAACACGGTTTATTGACTAGAAAGTTTGAACAAGACGCAACTCTCTATATCACAAGAACAAGTCATTTCTTAACGACCGTTTATCAGCTACACAAAGTTCGAACATAACGCGCGCACAAACAAACAAGTCGTTAACGGCGTAACACCCAACACTTACAACGATACGGTTTCTCGACTACATAACCGGTGAAAAAGTTCGGACGAAACGCAACTCTATATTACCCGAACAAGTCATACTCTCAACATTCATAATGGCCGTTATCGACCACACAAAGTTCGGACATAACGCGTAAACAAACGAACAAGTCGTTAACGACGACAAGACCCTTAACGTTCGACAACGACCGTTTGTCGATTACCGGCGAAAAAGTTTGAATACAACGCTACATACTATACGACCAAGTAAAACTCTTAACATTCAATAACGACTGTTTATCCGACTGCATAACCCCGATGAGAAAGTTCAAACATTACATATACGACACGAAAAAACAACCCATTGACGGACGAAACTCCTAACACTCGAGTACGGCCGTTTATTAACAACGTAGCAGATGGGAAAGGTTAATCACAACTCCATATTACGTACAATACGCTCCACAAACAAGTCATTAACGGCGGCGAAAATTCTAACACTCAATAACGATACGGTTTGTCGATTACATTACGGAACCGATGAGAGTTTGAACGCGTATACCATATGTCAGGATATTTCCATTGCGGATACCTCTTCTCCGCCCAACAATGCCATTTGAAACGAGCCTTTATCACCACTCCATACAACACACATACGAAGAAAGTTGGAAAAGATCATTATTGTACGTACATCATTAACTATTCATGTATTCGACAATCTTTTCAACTAACAGATTATTATGCCGTCGTTTACTTATCTGCAAACATTTTTTTCCACAGCTTCATCGATCGAAGCTATTGCACAATAAACTCGCTTCCTAGGTTAACCATTGTCTCAACCAGCGGACGGGCTGCGGATCAAGAACGAATAACAAGTAGTTACGGGTCTCGCCACTCTCCCTGTGATACTGGCGATGATGTGATCCCGGCACGGGTCCTGAGGAAGTGAGTCACGGGGGATGCCCGGATCACACTCGGACATCTCCTTTCTTCTCTTTTTTTACTGCACACAGCTTTAGATGACGGGTAGAAGGTTCTGGCAAGTATGAAGGTAAGTTTGCATTGTTTTACGCTATACCACTAACTCTATTTTCTTTTTTTTTCTTTCTCTCCCCTTTTTCTTTCCCTTGGTGGGTTCGCGGGGTGATCGGATCCAACGGTACACGTGGAAGTGGAAACGGGCACCAGGGACCCATATGGTAGCTACTTGTTATTAATAAATGATCCGTCCTTGAAGCTTATAGGCGAGAAGCCAGCGAGAGCAATAGCTTTCGATTATTTATGTTTTATTTTTATTTTAATTTAATTGTAATACAATAATAACAGAATTGTTATATTAATATAGTATTTGTTATAATTCGATGTAAATTATCTCAGCTTATTATAAATAAAATTAATAAAATTTTGCTCAATTGAAAAAAATTTGTCATCGGGTTTATCTTTATTATCTTGTCTTGTCAAGAAATTTTTATGTGAATGTTTACAATTGCCCTAACTCTTACTTTCAAAGTGTAAACTCATTCGAGGCAGCAAAATTAGTCCTGAAACTGACGTTTTACGTTTGTATAATATTAGGCTTAGTAGCCGGTAAATTTTTGTGCTATGTCAATGAAATTGTATGGAAGAAAATACTCAAATCCAAAGCCATTCCTATACTTTAGCGTTATTTAGTCAGCGGTATACAAAAGTCAAACTTGCCTCCGGCATCTCGTATCAGAATTATTATTTGATTTAATTGCGCATCGTTTTGAGATATTCCCCGATCGGTAGGCTTTAAACCTAATCCCATTTACAGAAATCGACGTAGGACGCGTGATTGAATAATAATTCAGTATAATCGTCTACGAGATTCGCATTTTAGCGTGAGTAGTAAACCGTAGTGTTACAAACGTTACCAATTGTTAGCGTGTATTTATCTCGAAGTAGGATAACAAAAGATCCGTTTGAAAAGAGTTAAATCCCGATGGTGTTACACGAATGCTCTCCCACGTGTAGCATCCCGACACGAACAATACAGATTTAAAATGCAACTAATGTGAATTCAGTCATGGACCACAGCTGTGCCACTGAATATCAACTCAAAACTAAAAAAATCAGCCACCAACAATTTTTAACTCACATAGTCAAATGTTCACTTTGTCTGGTTTTGTTGCAGAGTGCCCAGATGATCAACATTATCGAGTAAAATACAAACGGGATAATCTCATATAAAACCACGACATTAGCTTTTCTCGACACACCAAAAACGACATACCTTTTGTTTAATCGTGCTCTGGGAGGCGTATTGTTAATTTGTGTCATGTCAATAGCATAGCGTGTGAATATAGCAACAATTTTGCAATTGAGCATGTAATCTCCTCCTATCAAAGTACTCTCCTTACATCAAATATCCCCCGAATTAAGTAACCCGGTACTATAAATTTACCGAAATATGGAAAATTATAATTAGAACGGTTCCAACAAATACGAAATTCTTGTAATTGTGGTTGTTCGAAAATGATTCCAAGAGAAAAGTTTGTCGAGTTACGTGAAGGATATCAAGCTCTCTCAAAGATCTGAACAAGATATGTTCAGCTGAAAGCAATGAAATAACTGCGCGTCAATGTCTTAAAAAGACAACGCGTACTAATAAAGAAATTTCATATGGAGATCGCAATACCAGAAAACGTATCTAAATATGTTACGAATTGGCGCACGCATTTCGAAATTCACACTGCCAAACTCTATCCAAGCCACTGATTTTACCAAGACCACTTTACTGTCAAAAATTTCGATAAATTTCTTCAGTCAGCAGTCATCTGTACACATATTTTGACCGTCTGTAGTAAAGATTAATCCATTTTGTAATTACAATAGAAGTACAGGTTTTACGTGTACTTAGTATCTATAAATAAATAACGGACGAATAAATAGTCGGTTAGTTGGTTAGTTAAATAAACATCATGCAAACTACTACCACTTTCACGTCATCAAGTGAGTATTTTACAAAAAAAAAAAAGCTTGCAACTTTTTACAAATATTGACTACTAGATTTTAACACTTTAGTATTTTTGCTCTCAGATGTAAATTAATTTTTGAAAATATTTTTTGCTTATATAGTCTGTCAAAGCGTTAAGTTAGAAATGACCAAGTAATCGATTCAACAAACACCAAGATCAAATCGCCGGAATTGAGTTCGACAACCAATTTCTCGTTTACTATACAATGACCATTGAAATTCATGAATTACTCTGTAGAGGAAATTACAAATAAACACGCTCATATTATATTAATATTAACCCTAAAATTTTATAGTAATTCAGGAACCAGAGACTGAAACAAACCAATAAGGCTAGCGAATACAGCTAATGTAACATCGGTTCTCACGTTAGATAACGACATTATCTGTCAACTCGGAGAATTTGTCTCCAAGTCTAGTGCCAGAAAGATACTAACTGAAAACCGGCAATTTTGTTATTTCGACTGTTAGTAAATATGGTAAGCTATTAAACAGTAAAGTTGGTGCACTGTTCATGCATGCAATAACCTGCAGGAAGTAAATGTGAAGATGTTATAGATGGTACCGCCGCTATATTTAATGTTATCGCCAACAACATTAAGTGCAAAGTGGTGCCACAACATAATAATAAATATCATTCTTAAAAAAAAGAAGATAGTAGTACGAGCCTTAATCTTAGAATCTGCAATGATTGATGCTACTACGGTCAGTCAGTATCAGAATCTATTTTTATACAAACGAACAGACGTTTAAAATAATGCACTACTGATAGGAACGAATGCTCAGCAATTGTTTGCTCAAGTGATTTACTATTAAGAAACGTGATATAAATATATGGATTGTAATAAGCAAATGAAAAGAGAAAATCACCATTATAGCCTAAACATACGAACTGTACGCATGGTCGTAGTAAGAAGCACACACGTTACAAGGTTCTCTTTTAATTACATGTGCAAGAAGACCATTTCGATTATCTGAAGAAGTATTCCCAACGTGTTCTGACCGCAAATTGAAATTCCGACATAGCTATCGATTTAGGACAACCAAGTACATATTGATATCTATTTGTATCTTCTTCAATCAAAGGTCTCTATTTCTGCTTTGCATTGGGTCAAATTCCCAATCCCGGACAGAACATACGACCGTGCGTGGAGTGAATTAACCATCTTTTTACAACGTTTGTTTAAAAATGGAGTATCGGAACTTGCTAACCAAGTTCAGCGTCTTCACGCCGTGTATTGTAACTGACTTGTCTTGTGAGTCATCTAGGTATTTGGTTACACAATCAAGTATATTGCCACATTCATTCTGTCCGTTGAATTCCCAATTAACTATTGTAGAGACCGTTTATAGACGTGTAAAGTTGTTATTATTTGTGCTTGGAAAATACTTGTCAGTCGGCGTAGTTTTGTTTAAACAGGTGTTTGCGCTGCCTGCTTTTGATCACTTGTGGTATATGATCGATATCTAGGCAATAAATTTAGCCATTTGAAACATCCCTGTAAACTTTGTTAGTTTATCAATGTTATCAATGTTATCAATGTTTTGTACGTCCGTCCTGCCCGTCCGTTTTAAGAAACTAACTAATTAATTAGGAAATCCTAAATGTGGAGTTGACCAATGGAATGAGCCAAAAGTACGATGGGCTGCACGTTAATCGAACTGAACAATAAGGAAGGTTCAAAAAACTTTTCCCCTTATCGAACCCAACGGCGATAATCAAAAAACACGAGATAGCCACAACGTTTAAAACAAAGATGATGTGATTAAGGGTAGAAGGAAGAGGGCTCATGAGGAGATTCAGGAAGTCATTGTTTGATGTAAAAAGTCGTCGATTGCTATTTCTGAATGTTGAAACGTCGTCAGGTTATAATGGTTTGGGTTGGCAATTTGCTTTCGCCATGAACTGGCGTTAAATTGCAAGTCCTCAAGTACCATTCCCCATACCCCCACTAGTAATTTGACATAGAGAAAAATCTATATATCTTTTCTCCCAATTCGGAAGACATTTTGTAAAACAGCATGCGGACGTTTATTGAGTGTTCTAGGAATAAAGTCTACTCTGGCGCAAGGAATTAATGATCAATTAAATCTTAATATATTAAAAAAAAGAAAAGAAAATAGTAATTGCAACTCTGACATTATTGTATATCAATGTTCAAGTAACCGCCCACAGTTTCGATACCACATCTATAAATACACTCAAAGTCTCACCCTCTTTTTAATACCGGCCAAATTCTTTGATACACTTCTATCATCCGAATAAAGCAACAATGACAGGCAACGCAAGCATCAATTTTCCGACGACAATAGATCCAGCAGAGTTCTTAGTGTTACTAGATCCTGGAGTTGCTTCTGATGTCGATTGGGTAGTAGTTGCTGATTGTGCAGCTGGTGGTGTTGACGTTGACGACGTTGTGGTTGCAGGTGGGGGGGTAGACGTTGTTGTCACGCGCGCGCAGACGGCCTGACGGGTGCCCTGTGAGTTGCGAAAAAAAGGACATTAACGACTCGTTCTGTGTATCCCTCATGGTAAGAAAAATTCATTATTACTCACAGCATTCTGTGCGGCTTGTGCCTGGGCGGTTGGATCATTAGGACATTGGAGGTAACAGTTCTGAAGATCTAATTGGACCAGAAATTAAATTCCGATAGCGTTAATGACATTGGTGTTTGCCTTATTTAGTATGCAAATATTTACCGAAGCAAACGAAAAATAATGGAAATATGAAAAATGCACACAAAATATAAACAAACGATATAGAATTTCATGAAGTAGGTATACTATTTCTCTAAGAACTCCCTTCCTGACTTGGCGACCACTCTTTCCTCGTTTCGCTTCTGCCCATCTCCCCCATCTCAATACCTACCGGTGTACTTTTGACATTGACAGTTGTAGTCCGTCGAACCGCACCCGGCCAACGCAGCTTGCCCAGTAGCAATACATGTCTGGTATACTGGTTGATTATCGCATGTTGGTGCTGGTGCTGGGTTCGGTGCTGGTGCTGGGTTCGGTGCTGGTGCTGGGTTCGGTGCGGGTGCTGGGTTCGGGTTCGTTTGTGCTTTAGTTGTGATAATGCAGAAAATCACAAGCACTGTTACGACGATAATAGTGAGTTTCATTCTTATGACAATAAACCAAAGGATGGGAAGAGGATTAGTCGAAAAGAAGATTTACGCTTGAGGGGGTGGAAAGAAAATTATTGTTGTCAGATATATATATAAATATGAGAAATGTCGTGTATGTGGGAGTGAGATATATTTGGATCATGTGTGATAATAAATAATTAAAAAGGATTATAAATAGATTATTTGAGTAACTCGGCGGCATATACGAGTTACCTGACTGATATAATAGTCATGTTATTAATAGTACATAACAATGTAATTACAATATACTTTAATTCGTCTCTCAACCCTCCAATTTTTTGATGGGTACATGCAAAAATACAAAGAGCAATACTTGTAATGAAAGCGATGCCTGGTTTCTAAAAATGTGCAAGTGTAAACGGGGGATGTACGTAACCACGGGGCAAAACTATAAACCTCGTTTTCATAATTATGTCGCATCACTGTCAACTTCTCTCCATGCACATTTCAGCTTTATTCCCCCAAAAAATTGCCCACGCCGTACTAAAACTAGAGTTGAAACAGTTTAGCCGAGTCACACTTGGATATTGTGCAGGAGAGTTACTATCGCTGTACTATTACGATGACCAAATCAATCTTTTCATCAAAGATTACACAAGGGAACTATTATTGTGCAACATGCCCAATGCAGATCATTTAACTTTGTCATCTATAAGCACCACCCTTATTTCGTCTTTATTACCTTGTAGGCGAAATGGTTTTACAGTTATTTCAAAGGTGGATGTCTCTGCCGACAAGACATTATTAATCCCATTGTACTTAATCTTGGTTGAATCTTCAATTGGAGTGTTGCTTGTATATCGATATGCAATTCCTTTACTTTTACCAATTAATGGGTGGAATTATGCATTTAGTCTGGTGCACAACATTTGACAAAAAAAGAGTAGGTCTTTCAGGGGATAAAAATCATCATCCTTCAGTTTATGCAGTTAGTTTGTCACAAGATGCCTTTCATTGATTGGCGAATCTTAAATTATTACGAAATTGATATCGGATATTAATTACCGTTAATTGTCGCAGCAAATAATATTCGGATTTTCCGGCTAAGAAAAAAAAAAGGATTCCCATCTACTGTTTAAAGTAAATGACTTGTCACATGCACCGCAATACTACCGCTTGCTGTTTCGCATGGTAAATTTTTTGGACAGAACGTTTGGTCTATCCCAACAATATGAGTAACGCACTTATTTGTATAGACAATCTTGGTAAGTATGGGTTCTTAGTGAATTCACCCAACTGCAGGCCGAAACGCATAAAGATGTTTTCTCAAAGCATCACCGTTGGCATTTTGTGTCAGCAAACTCAAGTGCAACATCGCATACCTGCATTATCGGACGCCAAGATATTCTCATTTAGGAAAGTTATCACAAACTTTTGTCTAAGCCATTTACGAGTCTAACGTAATCATATGCTAAAGCAATTTGTATAACTTGGGTCAATGGCATCAAAAAACACAAGTCAAACCGAAACATTTTATATTTATACTCGGACATTTAAACATGATTTGCGTCTCGACTCTTTGATAATAAGTACCATATCATTTTCTTCACCATGTTTTGCGGAATATCAGAGAAGTGAGGTGTTTTAGTTTCTGGGTTTCATCTAGTTTGGGGTCCGGTTCATTTTACCGACAAAAACTACCAAAAAGGAATAACTTTGAAATATGGGGAATTTTGTCGGCAAAGTGATTGTCGACGAAATGTCGGTGAAATGACGCTCAACTTGTAAGCGGGTTACATTATCCAAGGAATCAACTAGACGCCCGATGACTGAGCGATTTTGGCAAGTAGTTGTCTTAAAGTCTTCGGTAGCTGACATCCAATAATACCCATAAAAAGCATTTGCTCATGACTTTAAGCAGTTTGTGTGGGGGTATTTTAATTTTAGAGTTAATAAAACAACAATTAAACTCAAAACCTATAATTTGCTAGTCTTTCCCTTCAAACAAGATATTATTATGTTATTTCGTTTATTCGTTGGGCATAAGTTTTGCGTTCTAATCTTTCTTTACAAACTTTATTTTTTGCCATAAAGCAAGAAAAATAATCATTTATTGAGACAACTATTAAAGTTTAATTTGTTCTGGCACTCTATTATTTCGGGGCCCATATCAGAACGTCTAACAGCAAATCCCAATAATTCAGTAAACAGAAAAACAGCTCTTTTTTGTCAGTCAAAGTACGCGTTAATTGCGACGTAAATTGATTATTTATTTAATAGAAATTTATAAAAGTAAAAGAATCTGTTCATTTACTATACACATAACGCGTAAAATTTTTTTGCTTTAATATTAACTACTTCTGAACTTACTCCAAGAAATTTTACATTGAATTTGGTAAAAAGGAGGAATACGGAAACTAAACACCTTTTATAAAAACCGGAAAAAAAAACAACGTACGCCTTGTTGGCAAATTATACTTGCAACATATTAACGTTTTTATCAATTTAATGTAATACCTCATTTAGTGTAGCTTCTAGCAACACACAAATCCCGGACATCATTTTTGAGAAAGTTTTCAATAATGCTCAAAATTAACAAGATATTTAGAACCCAAATTGGTTTAGTCTTTTACGACGATTGTTGATTGTGCTTTATTATTATTATTTTCCGGGGCGCCGGTTAGAGCGATCAATATGAAGATCGGCCATAACAAATAAAAAGAAGTAACTTTTAATGGACAAGTAAGGAAAGAAACGAGATTAGCGTAATTTTAAAATAGAAAAAGTGTGCATTATTTTGATTCAAAACGTTTTAGACTCGAAGTCAATTCTGGGAATTGTGATACATTTTTGTTTTATTCACTTGTGTATTTTTAATCAAAAATTTTATAATAAAAAACAAACAAACTTTCCTTATTAGAAAAAAGGTGGTCACCTGCTTTAGAATTTGTTTTTGTCTTATTATTCTCAGTCATTGTTTAGCGCTGCAATTTAGTGAAAGGTAGTCTTATAAAATACGCTACATAGATTAATAACTTGATTTTGCACCGCAGTCCTCACAAACGTTTGACTCGGAGGAGACTACAAGGAAGTTTAGCTATATAATTATAAATGTATCTTTAACATATTGGTCAAAGAATATTTTACATGCACCATATGTGCAAATGAAAAAGTTACCTGCAAAATCTACTAAAACGCACGAAACTAAATTCAGACTCGTTTTACAGCTACACTATTGACAGATAATTAATACGTGACATGTCTGCCGTGATGTAAAGAACGCAGCACTCGCCGTACTTGCAAAAATCTTGAACTAGCATAGAACAGTAACAGTCTCACTGAATAATATGTGGATAAGGACGTGTGTATTATGTATGTGGAATTGTAGTCGTGGTCAGCATGTATGGAGACGCCTCTAGATTTTGTACTTTACTTTGATGCAATGCTATAATTACCGGTTTATTGTTTAAGTTATTATTATGATTTCCGGATTGATACTCAATAGATATAACGATTACAACTCGGTAGGAAAAGAAATGGGGACGATACTTGTTATTGTATCACTAAATGGACGTTTTACGCGATATACTTTTATAACATATAATCATTTATTGAAGAAAAATTCGAAGCTCTTGCTTGGCATATGAAGGCAATTGGAGGATGAGATGTTATTGCTTTGTATGTTATGAAGAATTGTATATTACGCGAATTATTATGTACACCGTCCAAACATGGCGTCAACAGAGAACGTTCTATCCATTGTATGTACGCTCTTCATGTTGATGCTTCACATTTATAATAGAATGCCTTTCTCTTGGTGATTAATAACTCTGTACATGCTAGACGTAATTCATGCTTCAAAGTTTTCTTTACCAGGCAATATTTTTGGTTACGTATCCATATGTAAATTTCGATAGTTGCCAGACATTCTTATAAGGTCAAGGTCAGGGCTATATATGAAGGCCATGGTAGAACCCTTCCTGGAAGACGTTCTTCGAGATCCTTGCAAGCATCCCTTAATAATGTTTAGACTCATTGTCTTGAAAAAACAATCCGTTCGGTAACATTCAGCTCTGAATGCTTTTCGCCGTAATTTTGTAACTGGACGGTCCTTCCTATTTGACGTCGCGTTATTTTTCGTAGATTTCCGAAATTTAGAAATATGTAATTTTTTTTTTTCGAAAAAGACTGACACAACATTCACAAGATCGAAGCATTGACACCAGTTAATTTAAAAATTCTACTGCGTTCCGATGTCCATAACGAAAAGTTAAGTTAGAAAACAAGAACGCATATATGTTGCGTCGCACTTTCTGAATACAACAAAAACGCGCGGTTGTTGTTGTCGTGTAATTTTTATTGTACACAAAGACAAGAGGGTTATATAGCCAGTATTGTCTTTTCCTGGAATTGAAAGTCAATAATTATAACAGACGCGAGTAAGTAGTTTACCTCGGCATAATATAAACCATCTGTTACTTCAAGTAGAATCAATTTAACTCTACACAAATAGGTAGACTATATAAGTATGCATACTAGCAAACTCACTCACAAGTGTTGTCTTATCGTTCCCAAATATTAGTAATTTTGTCTTCATTTCATAAACTGTACCAGACATTTTGGCTGTATGTCGGTGATTTGGGAGTGAGAAATCCATTCAATAGACACCCTGAAGAAAAAATTTTTATTAAACTTTATGAATAGAATTTTGAACAAGTTGACAAGAAGCAAAAATGTAAAAATTGTTTACATTAGCACTGTAGTAGCAAAATTAATAAAACGCAAACGTCTAATTAGTAGATTCAAGACAGTTGTTATAAACTAAATTGCAAATAAAGGCAATGGTGTTTTTAACCATGCCTGATGTATCAAGTAAATAAGAAAATTAATAATGCACTTACATTTAATACAATAATAACAAATGATTCTCGCATTGGATTTTTATAAAAAATCGTAAAAGCTATTGTCACTTTCGCCGGGGTCTATATAATAATTTAATCTATTAAAATAAATATTTTGTTGCTACAGCAATTATTGGTAAATTTATAAACACATATTATTAGCATATGGGAATCGACAAAGAAGCTAATTATGGGAAAGCTATTAGATAAAGCGTGGTTGCTAACCAGTATAGCACGCCAATCAATACAATAGTTATTTCATTTGTTTCATAAATAACTGTAGTTCTATCACTGGTTATGCACAGATGGTTATAAAAGCATGCTTGTTCTTCAAAGTGCTTGGTTGCCTTATTTACTTTCTCAAAGATAACGACAACAGAAAGACTGCTTCCTAATTATTGTTGTGAATTATTATCTCTGTCGAGTCGATTGCCACGGGAGTGATTGGCAAACAAAAACGGATCCTAGTATGATTAATTCATCAATAAAACAAAATCATAAGCCGGAGAAAAAACAACGGCAAAGTTTTTGCCGAGGAATCATGTTGTTTACTAGTGTTGTAATAGATCACGGTTCAGAAGCTAATTCTCAATCGCAGTATATCAACTACCAGTTCAAACATACCAATACGATATTTGTTCAGCGAGATTTTCCATTAAATTTAAACAAATTGTTCAATCACATCACACTTCCTACTATTTTATGAGTAATCTCCAAGGTATCTCGACAAGATTTTCATTTCCATAATTCGGATCAATATCATTATTTGCTAGCATTGTTCCATCATTTGCAAAACGAGCCAATGATTACTAGTTTGCTTAAGAATCTGAGCTATGTCACTAAGGAAATGAGGGACTGGTGGTTGCAAGCCGCGTCATTTTTTAACAATATAATCTACACGTTTATGCTTTATTTTCCACCTGCTACTTCTATCATCATTATTTTCTTCTGTCATACGTAATACCTGTTCGCCTCTAAATTTTTAGCAATCTCTGGCTCCCACTTGTCTCCGTTAGCAAGGAGTTTTTCTTTGTTGTAGAGTAATTCTTCACGAGTTTCGGTTGAATATTCAAAATTCGGACCTTCCACTATAGCATCGACAGGGCACGCTTCCTATAACGACAAAGGGATAGGTTTTGCGAATGGAATGAGTAAAATTTGGTAGACTTGAAAATCATTGACGATGTATTTACCTGGCAGAATCCACAGTATCTGAAAACATGTTATATGGTCGTATAAGAAATTACCAATTAGTGACGCATATAATTGTATCCTTTGCTTAATGATTTTATACATACATGCACTTGGTCATATCGATATCATATCTTGTCGTCCTCCTACTTCCGTCATCTCTTGTCTCTGCCTCGATGGTAATCGCCAAAGCAGGACAAATAGCTTCACATAATTTGCATGCGATGCATCGCTCTTCGCCTTTGACATGTGAGAGAGTAATTTGTGATTATAATTAGCTGTAATTAAATAAAAATTATAGCATGTGATATACACGATACTTGACGCTAGTGATACGATTTTGCATATTCGCATCTAATGCCTTTCAACTTTCGCACTGTCTAATACATATCCATTATTGTCTCCTGCCTTAACCCTATCCAAACTCACCAGTAGGATATCTCCTCAAAGCATGTTCTCCTCTAAATCTCGGACTCAATGCTCCTTTCTCAAAAGGGTAATAGATTGTGTACGGCGGCCTGAAGAAATTTTCCAACACCAACCACGCTCCTCGGACCAATTCTGTCAATAAAAAGGACGTTCCGGCTTTATCGAGTGCAGATTCACGACGAGTGTAAGAAGGAGAGGGCTGAGTGGCATAGGTGCGAAGATGTGTAAGGCTCGGGAGAGAGGTTCGGGCAAATGAAGGTATGTGTGTGAAGAACTGGGGACGAGTACTGCCTGGGCGTATATGGGCTGGAATGGAAGAAATGCAAAAGAGGCTATTAATAGTTATATCTTGTGGTATTTAAGTACGGTTGATTTCGGTTACAAACCAACTTTCCAAACAAAAGCAAATCGCCTTTTACGCCTTTCTTGTCCTCACTTACCGTGTACTAAGCTACCTCTGCTCAGTGAACTTAAAGAGAGCGGAACAAGTCTTTGTGTGTTCATAATTAATTTATAAATATTAATGTGAGGGAAATTTTGGCGATTTCCAGAATTTTTGTTATTCAGACATTAGAAATCATCCAAGATCTAAAATCAACGTGACTCTGACAATCGGTACCAATTTTGGATGGAGAGGTTCATCGAATATCGATCGATGTTTGGCGTAATATATGACTTTATAATGTAAAGTAAAAGTTCTCAACATCGAACTCGTATCAAAATTTGAGATTGTACCTGTATCTGTATAAGTAACGGTTAAACGAGTCTTCTAATGTTAATTAAAATTTAATACAGCAATATTATTATCAATCTTATTGCATATCGAATTTCATCTAAGAAATAATAGTACCCCAGTAAAATCGAGAGTTTTATACCAGATATTAAATTCCGTTCCAGAGAAAAAAAACTTCAATTATTACAAAATTAACGATATCATCATTGACTTAAATGTCGTTTACTAGAATTGCTATTTCCTGTTTATCTAGCGTGTAATAGTAATAGTAAGCATATCTTAAAACGCGAAAATCAAACTTGTGGCAGGGGAAGTTTGGATCCCCGAAATTTTACAGATTGAACCCCCAAATCTTTCTGCTCCAGCAATTTATTTACTATCGTTTATCCCAAACATTTATCCTATTAGAAAAAAAAATATGGAACAGTTCAATCCCAGTACTTCCAATACAGCGACGGCATCCGACAACGCACAGGCGACTACTCCTCCTTCCACTGTTTCTACTCATATATCTACATCTGATCCTATTCCAACTTCTACACCCACTTCCGCACTTCTTTCCACTGCAATGTCCACATCCACGTCCACATCCACATCCACGTCCACATCCACATCCACACCCACACCCACACCCACACCCACACCCATAACCACACCCATAACCACACCCATGCTCGTTTCCAATGCTTCCACCTCTTCTTTATCTCCTATACCCTCTTCTACATCTACAGCAACTAACGCAACCACTACTATTCCGACCCCTTCTATTCCCACATCCACACCTACACCCATTCCCACAACCACATCGTCCCCTATACCCTCTTCCGTATCTACAACCACACCTTCCACTATGCCCAATTCAACAGATGTTCCCCGATCTCGCAATACTAACCCCCCTCCTGCCGAACCAGCTTCTTGGCAAATACCGCCAAGTGCGTTGCAGCCAAAGAAGCGAACAGAAAAACTCGACAAGTCTGAATCCCGTATCGCAGTTAATCCCTATGATACAGAGGCTTGGTTGATGTTGCTTTCAGAGGTGCTGGCGAGGGGGGATGTGGAGCGGGTGAGGGAGACGTTTGAGAGATTTTTGAAGTTGTTCCCTAGTTCGGTGAGTAATAAAAGAGGAATGGGTCGTGGGGTTGGCTTTAAGAAAAAGGATTAGATCAGAAATTTGTGAAATGGAGAGAGGATATATTGGAAAAAAAAATACATGGCAATTTAATAAAGGGCCTGTGTTAGGATAGCACGCGTCTTATTAATAGAATGTATAGAGTGTATAGGGTGTCAGTGAGTTGGCAAGGCGTGCGTGCTTTTTTTCTTCTTTTTTTTTCTTTAATTTCCCTGGAAACGCAATGAACTATGTCCACCTTAATTTATCCTGACCTTTTTTGGTTGTGTGATTATAACCAAATTATTGCGTCCTTAGTTCTATTCATCGAATGCCTTCGTAATACTCCTTGGCAACACTATTAGTAGGACTCTTCCCAGTGCCCTTTTCGTTCTAATTGCAATAATACTTGTCTTTGTGTTCATGTTGTTCGTAGTAATGTGTTGATGATGTTGTTCCCAGTCATTGATAACTCGCACTGTTAGAAGCTTACTTAACAATGGGTGATGTAGACATAGTCAAGACGGTTTATTTACTAATCTAATAGTGTTCTACTCACAATCCCACATCTATGCAAACTGTTTTCCTTGGATGAATTACCAAACGACTCAACAAACTCTCAATGATCTAATTGGTATCACCAACACTGCCGACTACCAAAAAATATCTATATATACAACCAACCTTCTACTTCAATCTCACTTCGCAAAATATCTTATATTTAAATAACCTATAGGCTCGTCACTGGATCCAATTCGTCGAATTCGAACTAAAAAACAACAGTCTTGACCGAGCAGAAGACATATTTCGGCGTTGTCTTCGTCCTACCCCATCCGTTGAGCTATGGAAATATTATCTAAATTACGTTCGTCGGAAAACTACTGGCGACAAATCATCCTCACTAACAGCTGAAGCTCGTGAAGTTTTGACAAAAACGTACGAATTTGTCTTGAACCACGTTGGCCTGGATAAAGATTCTGGAAATATATGGAGCGATTACTTGTTTTTCCTGAAAACTGGGGAAGCAAATAGCACTTGGGAAGAGTCCCAGAAAATGGATATTATGAGACGAACCTATCAGAAAGCTATTTGTATACCAATAAATAATGTTGAGCATATCTGGAAAGAATATGATCAGTTTGAAAATGGCCTTAACAAAATTACGGTATGTGAGATTTCAGCAACATTGTATATGACCAAAATGTTGTAACACTGACACTGTCAATAACTTCACCACTCAGGCCAAAAAATTTCTTCACGAACGCTCGGCATCTTATATGACGGCCCGTACAGCACTACGCGAACTTCGCGAAATAACTGATCCTATTAACAAATCAATCCTTCCCGTTCCACCCAAATGGACTAAAGTCGAACTTCAACAACTTGATCATTGGAAACGTTGGATTGCCTGGGAGAAATCAAATCCTTTGGCACTAGAAGACAAATCCGCTCTGGCGCAGAGAGTTACTTTTGTATATAGACAGGCTATGTTGTATATGAGATATTATCCAGAAATATGGTACGATGCGGCTAGTTATTGGGTTGAAATAGGGAAGGAAGATGAGGCGGTTACTATGTTGAAGAATGGGATGGAAATCATGCCAACAAGTTTCCTGTTGCATTTTTACTACACTGAACTTCAAGAACAACGCCAAAAAAATGCTGAAGCTCGTTCTGCATTTGAATCCCTTATTTCGCATCTAAATTCGGAAATAGAGAGAATCGAAGAATCTGCTGAAGAAGCTATTGCCAATGTGAACAAGGCCGGTGAAGCAGCAAAGGAAGAGTTCTCGGGAATGGAGTTGGATGGCGAGATGAGAGAACAATTGAGAACAAAAGAAAAAGAAAGAGATAAGGAACGGGCAAAAATTGAAGAAACTAAGAAAAAAGAGATCGAAGCTGTGGCAAGGGGTGTTGGTTTAGTTTGCATCATGTACATGAGGTTCGCACGTAGAAGTGAGGTATGGGTTCATCGGATGGTGATAAATTGTATGGGGAGGGATTGTTTGAAATGTTCATTTGGAACCCTATTTATTATATAAGGAGTTGAGGTTGTAATATTCATTTCAATTGTAATTGACATCATAATCTAATTATATAAGCTACCATCATTAATGATCTTCACAGGGCATAAAAGGCGCTCGACAAGTATTCTCGAAAGCACGAAAGACCCGCTATTGTCCATACCAAGTATTTGTCGCATCCGGTAAGCTCTAATGATTATATGTAATGTCCAGCATATGTGTTTGCTAGATGCTTGTCTTCTGACGATATTACTCTGGGTCAGCTCTCATGGAATACCATTGTAGCAAAGATCAAAACGTGGCAGTTAAGGTTTTTGAACTCGGCTTAAGGTCTTTCGGAGATAATCCTGATTACGTCGCTCAGTATTTGGACTTTCTGGTTCAACTCAATGATGACAATAGTAAGCTTTGTTGTTTTTACATTCTTGTTATAATAAATCAAACATAATGACGCATAACCTTCCCTGCGCTTTTACTCCTTCCGAAACAAAGATACCCACGCACTGTTTGAACGCTCATTACTCACCCTACCCGTTGAAAAATCAAAGATAATATGGGATAAATTCGGAGATTATGTGACTAACTATAGTGATTTGGCTTCGATGAGAAGGCTTGACCAACGAAGAGCCGAGAAGTATCCAGATGGTAAGTCATGGGAAACAGAATGGAAGGATAGAAGGTTACGAACTGGACAAAAACGATGTAACATTGTTTTAAAACTCTCAGAAACTGATATCGAGCGATTTGCATCGCGGTATAGTTACTTAGACGTAAATATAATAATGAAGCAAGAAGTTGGAGCAAGACGTACGTATATCTTTATTTGTGCAAAACTCTCTGTCTGTCAACGAAGTTACTTTCTTATCAACATATAACTTTTGACACCATTCATTTTTGTAGCCTCATCTTCTTTAAGCGTCAAAAAACGTTTCCAACCGCCGCTCCTCTCTTCTCCGCCGACTACACCTCCTTCAACACATATGGAAGATGAAGGCACCTCTCGACGTGCGTTGCTTGATTCCGTTAACCCGGAGAAATATCCACGGCCCGATTTCCGACAGTGGGTGGCCTATAAGCCGACGGCGGAACAACTGAGAAGGCCATACTTTCCCCAACCACAGACTAGCAATGTCCCGCCTGGTGTTGCTGGACAGAGTCTAGGGCCGCAACCTCCGGGTGGTGGTGTGGGCGCCGGTGGAGTCTCGGTATCGAACATGTCAATTTCTGGTTTGCCGGCCAGCGGAGCACCGCCCTCAAATGTCATGTCTCAAGGAATGGGTTTGCCACCCAATGTAGTGCAAGGCATTCCAGGAACAACAGGAGCAGCCCCTGCACAACAGTTACAGCAGTTGACGCCAGTCGTGCTAAAGCGGGCACCGAACGGGATGTTGTTGCCGGAAGCTATAGTCAATTTTTTGAACATTTTGCCACCAGCTAGTGTGTTTAATGGTACGTCATCCACCGAAAGAGTAACAAATGAAAATGGGTGGCAAAAGCGTGTTGTTGACACTGCTTTCTTACTGTAAACATTTTACAAATTATTAACCTTCCTTCTTCGCAGGTCCAACACTAAATCCGATAGATCTAATAGACGTAATCCACAACTCATCAATCCCACTCCCTCCCTCGACTGCTCATCCCGGACAACCCGCACTTCCACTTCCTACAACCCAACTTGTTACTCCATCTCACAATATTGCATCGCATGCTCTTGCACCGCCATCACATATGCCATCATCACATGGAATGCAAACAACACATCGAGTTAGTCCGCCAGTGAGAGAAAGATATGAAGGGAATGTAACTGGAGTAGGCGGGAGATATGGTGAAGGGCGAGTATATGAACGAGGCGAAGGTGGAAGAGGCGCGGGTGGACGAGGAAGCCGGGGCGAATTCTTTGGAAAGCAGATGAGGGTAAGGATGAAAAGCTGCGGATAGGAGTTTGAGAAAGACGTGGAAATTCGAGTCCAGTTGTAAATGTGGTAGATAGGAACTAACCATTCTTTCCTTTCCTTTATACAGAACATCCAACAGTCATCGCGCGGTCGAGGTGGCGTTGACGGTGCACCACCATCATATGGATCGTCTGGATCTAAACGACGTCGGCGGGATTTTGATGCCGAAGATGAATTTTCCGGTGGGCGTGGTGGAGAATGGGGAGCTGGTGGAGGACGGGGCGATACAGAGTTCAAGAGGCGACAAGGCAATTAAGTAGATATGCGTGAACCTTTTATGAAGGGAAAAGACTGAAACAAAAGGAGAAAAAACTGTCGAGACAGCTTGCATTAATTTGTAATTATTTGTGTAATAAAAAGATTTTCATCATCGAAACTATCATTTTCGGTCATGTGGTGTACAAATCGTATATTGCACGCGAATAAACTTCATTGATTATCGTGTGTTTTTGCAGTTTATCTCTTACAGATTTAGCAGGCAACAATTATGAACAGTAGCTTCAGCATTACATCGTTACGCTGTCACTTGCCAAGTCATGATTATATTTACAGAAGATTCACGTACCTTAACAGGCAAGTAAGATTCACTTAGCCAACGAATCTATATTGGCTTTGGAATTTATTAATATACTACATATGAAATAACATTTCGGGGTGGGCGGATTGACTTTTCGTATATTCTATTAGTATAAATTAGGAATCCTATGGCCGTTGGAAACAACGTGAGTCGCAAATAATCGTGAGTGGCGTCAGGTGAATCATGCGCTTATTCCATAAACCAAGATGCCTTCCCCCTTGTTTAGACGTTCGTGTGCGCGCGTCAAAGTTAGCAATTACTTTTACACTTGGTTGTTTCCATTTGACTGGTCTCGGATCGATTGCGGTCGTTTAAGTAATCGTTTGGGAATAAATCGTCCCCACATTCTGGTCACGATCTTTCCAAAATACGCTCGTCGGCCTACAAGCGTACCAAGCCCAAATAGGATAACAGAATAAAGCGGCAAGGTTATGGCGAGATAAGTAAGTCGATAAGACCATGGGCCATCTGTGAATGAACCTGCATTAAAATAATACCCCCCCCCAAAGATGGATCATGAACCAACACAGCAATTAGTAAAAATCGGAGCAAATCACCTTAAATCTCTTACTTTATATCGCATCTGCTATTACTTACCCTCAATACCGAACACGTTAGTCACAATGGGTCTCACTACTCGTACAGTAGTCGAGCCAGTCACTGCGAATACAGCGAATATAATTGTCCACTCTTTCCACCAAAGCCAGCTCCACCTTTTTAACGTTCCCGCCGCACTATCAGCTAGTGGAGGTGTAGGACTGGAAGAAGAGTATGTCCTCATCGATGCATTGTTTGCATTTAACAAAGAAGTCATATTCCGGAATAGATTATTTTTTTTGGTAGCAGAAATGCGGTGGGTTGTGTTGTAATTAATATGGTTAGCGTAATTAGTTACGGTCTTGATATGACATTTGTTTGTAATTTGTGGTATGGAAATGGGACGACTAAGTTTGAGCGGACGAAGTAGGGTCGGAAATACTCTAAGGGACATGTTCTACCTTTAGTTCCCGAAAACGAAAGTGTGCGATCACCGCATTCAACTTTTACCTCGTTCAAATCACATGACAATAAATAATCTATTTTTCTTTTTGAATGGGTTTATTTCAAATTGACACCAAAGTGAGAATAACGTCACAGATTCAGTGTCATTTCTGCTAGTTAGTCTCTGGCGAGATGTTTATGATGTTTGCGAATTTGATGAAACTAATTTCTTGAGAAGCGCGTATTACGCTATCGGCGTTCAGGAGATGATGGCACTCAATTGTGCGCATCATACCGGGAAGCAGACTGCTAACGGCACGCGATTACTAATGCAGCCATTTAAGAACGTTGACAACTTTTTGCTTCTCACGAATGCGAACGTTGGTTGACATTGCTTGATTCAGCAGTAGTGAGAATGCGCGTCTTGATAAAGAGACAATGACAAACCCAAGTGGTTACTGGCCGCCATTTGTCAAAAGTATGCAAGCACAAGAGTGTTGTTCTATTCAGTCGCTGGGCAATTATCAATTTCGAGCCTGCTGCAGTCCACCGCACATATGCGGATGACAACCAAATCATACTGTCCAGCATCAAGACCACGAAGATATGATTCTGACTCTCTGTCGTGACAATTTGCTTTCTCCCTTTCAGTCATCTTGATGTGTCTTTATAGCTGCATAGAATGTACATATCTCAGGCGATAATTTGAATCGGGTAAAAAAAAACGATCCCTATAGTTGGCTCAGTAAGCAATAATTATAAGGATGCAAATTAATAATGCACCATATCAATGTACCGTATCAAAGCGTAGAATTGAAAGGCACCACGTATTGGTAATTGGGTGTCTTTCAGTAAGCGTACTGCCTGCATGTATGACAGCTATACCAAACATATTAAACCTTGCAATTAAGGCTCTAAAGATAAATAACTTGTCAAATAAAAATGCTGTTGTGGTTCTGTTGATATGCATTGGTCATGTGCGTGATGCAGTAGACGTGTATCTACTGACGTAATTGTTCAGCATTTTTAATACTTTTCCCGATCATCGACTTGCAAACATAACTTATAAAATGGAACGTCTCCAACGTCTATTCGGAGCAGCTGCAGCGGGAGGGGGGATCCAAGCAGGTGTAGATACGCCTACTGTTGACAATGCTGAAATGGTTTATATATCATCGTTGTCTCTTTTGAAGGTACATTATTGAGGAACAAGAATCTTGTGGAAGAAACAGAAAACAAACGTTTTAATCATTTTGTCTAATTGAAACGATACGCTAGATGCTCAAACACGGTATGGCAACAACCGTCCCGCATAGTTTAAAATTTTCTATAAACTTGTTACCCAAGATTCAGTTGTATTTACTACCAAACAGGCCGCGCAGGCGTTCCAATGGAAGTTATGGGTCTAATGCTAGGCGAGTTCGTAGATGATTATACAGTCCGAGTAATAGACGTCTTTGCAATGCCACAAAGCGGTACAGGCGTGTCTGTTGAGGCAGTTGATCCAGTGTTCCAGACGAGAATGTTGGATATGCTCAAACAGACTGGACGGTGGGATTGAGTTTGTGATGATTCAACTAATCTCAAGCTTGTGTTTATGTCCTCCTTTGAGATCACTGACTATATGTTTGCTGTTGATTATTGTCGGTAACAGGCATGAAATGGTGGTTGGGTGGTATCATTCGCATCCAGGATTTGGATGTTGGTTGTCGAGCGTTGATATCAATACACAGCAGGTACATTACATACATTCAATGATAGCAAGCGACATTTGGAGAAGCAACAGCGACAGTAAAAGCGTCATATATTAATCCGTTTTCTATTTTTCGATTTTTGCTTTGTAGAGTTTTGAGCACCTTAATCCAAGAGCAGTGGCTGTTGTTGTAGATCCTATACAGTCAGTTAAAGGCAAAGTGGTAATAGATGCGTTCAGATTAATTAATCCTCAAATGTTGATGCTCGGTCAGGAACCACGACAGACAACGTCGAATATTGGTCACCTTAATAAGCCTAGCATTCAGGTAAAATGACAATCCTCTCTTAGATGTGTTATGTTTATGTTCCGTTCACTAATATACTGAACATCTAATTGTGTATAGGCATTGATCCACGGTCTCAATCGCCATTACTATTCGATTGCTATCAATTATCGAAAGAACGAATTGGAACAGAAAATGCTGTTAAATCTGCACAAACAGAACTGGACTCATGGACTCACGCTCACTAATTTCACCGAGCATACTGAGCTCAATGAGAAAGCCGTCAAGGTGAGCATATTTTAGCATGTGATGAATATGTTTTGAGACTTAGATCATGGACAGCAATAATGCACTTTGCTGATATTGACATTTGCTTTGCATTCACCTAGTCCATGTTACAATTGGCTGAAGCGTATAATAAATCAGTGCAAGATGAATCGACGATGACTCCCGAACAACTGAAGACCCGCCATGTTGGAAAACAAGATCCGAAACGTCATTTGGAAGAAAGTGTTGAGGATGTAATGTCAAATAACATAGTTATGTCATTAGGGACAATGATCGATTCCGTCAGTTTCTAAAATTCGATGGAATACAATTGGAATATTTGAACCCTTACAATAAATATTATTTGCCTTAAAAGACTTGTTGCCTGTTGACTGGGTTGTTGTATACTATGGTGTCTATCGTTTGTCATAAGAATTAGTAAAGCTTCCTGTCAAAAAATTCACCCTTGGAGATGAATGACTTGAGAGGTAAAAAGTCCACGGTACCATACGTCGATTGATGACTATATGATCTTAAGGTAATACCAACTGTAACTCGGCACGCGTATTGAAATATCTAATGCGTCTATATGTGTAACTTCTGAACCCATTTCATTCGAGTCACGATGATGGAACCTCTCTTTATTTTCTATCCGCGAACAGTAAGTCTTTTGATCAGATTCAGTTTGTTTCAGTACTGGAAAGTTTACGTTGGATACTGGCTTATCATGAATTTACCGATTGATAAAGAAAATAAAAATATTAAACCGCGTCTATACTAGAGCGGTCAAGGAAGTATACTTAGTGCAGAAATGTGTGGACCTATTGATGTGGTGTTCGATATAATGAGCTAGATGGAAGAGGAATATAAAGAAACGCGAATTTGTATCTTATTCCGGAAATAATTTTTATCGTTTTATTGAATATCGGGAATAACATATTCAAATTTGTTCTAATTTCTAATTTATTTTCGTTACAGTCAATATTCCCAAATCCAACTTCTATCAACCTGAGGTCTGCATAACGTGAGAAATGTATTTCACGGCGTCGCTAACGGATCGAATATTATCGGCATCTTTGTCGGGAATTTCGACTGAAAAGTCTTCTTCTATTGCCATGACGACTTCGACTGTATCCAGGCTGTCCAATCCAAGATCATCAACAAAGTGAGAGTCGGCGGATAACTATTTTGGGGGAAGATGGAAGGAAATAGTTGAAGCAATGCGGTGATACGTTGGAGTTTGTAATTACCGATATGACTTCGTGTTCTACATCTTTAATAATTAGCCGTGCTATATTATCTTTGTTGAATTTCATTCTCCACTAATTAAGCTTCCTACCTTGTGAGCGGGAACCTTATCAAACCCTCTTAGAATATCTAAAATCCTATTTTCAATAGTACTTATATCCAATGCCCCTGAGGCATAATGTCGCAAACCTGTCACAGTAGGGTTTGACAATATTGATGGCTGTGCTTTATGAAATATAGAGAAGCCTGCTGAACGGAGGCGGAGAGTGGATGTTACAAGACGGTTCATAATTCTTCAAGAGTTATGGGTACGATAGATTGGATGGTCAATTGGTGATCTAACGAGGGTAGCCGCCATCTTTGGAATTGGTAAAATTTTATTAATCACATGATCACCATACTTTATTTTCATGTTATACAAATCTACGTGATCTGTTGCATCCACCCAGCAGTGGGTGAAATTATAGAAGCAAAATTTAATTTACGCTAAATTTTTTGGTAAACTTAAAATTATATATATTTATATATATAATCATGTGAACGTGAAATTATCATGGTGATGCTGGGGAAAATCATCCCATTCCCTTAATCACAAAGGCAAAGTAATCTCGAAGAAATTCATTTTTGCACTAATGTAAATAGTTCGGTCACTAGTTATAAAATTTGCCGTGTAACAGTATCTGATAGAGAAGACTTATGAAATATCTATTAACCTTTCACAGTAAGAATAGTTGCAACCACATAATAGCATTTATTCTTTCCAGTAGTGTTGCGCTGTGAAACTTTTCAACTGCAAATATATGACTTAACATCTCATAACCGCATTTCTAGCATCAGCCTCGTTAGAAAGGAAAAGAGAAATGTGTACCATATATAGTTTGACGCTTATGCTCCCCACCGCAGCAAATGATGGTGTAAATAATATATAACGCGACTATGCGGTGTTGATAAAAATCATATTAAATTGCCGTCCAAATATGCTGAAATTATTTATTCGCCAGAGATGTCATTATAGTACCGAACTGCTATTGCTATACTATTAGGAATACTCGTAGTGTCATGGTCACATTTATTTATGGTAGCAGCAGGACTTTCATTTTCCGATCATCTACAGCGTATGTCTGGCCGTTTGGTCACGAGTAGTAAATCATGTGATATAAGCATTCGTGCCACATATTAATAATTTGTTGAGTTCCTCTTCACTGACTTGCATCACTTCTTGACCAACTTGCATCACTTATTTTTGTAAATCAACAACACTAAGACAAAATGGGGGGCGGAGATCTTGTAAGTACCATTGTTGCATTTGAAAAGAAGAAGAGTAGCAACGAGGTAAAATACTCTTGTATTGCTTACTAATGCGATGCTCGGTCCTTTACATATAGAATATGAAAAAATCATGGCACCCGTTGCTACTGAAAAATCAGGAACGGGTGTGGAAACAAGAACAGAAAGCTCTTGAGGAACAGAAGAAATTAGATCAACTCAAAAAAGAACTTGAAGAAGAGCGACAAATACAAGAACTAAAAAAACTCCAAGAAGCAAAAGGAGGTCGACGGGGTCCCGAGAGATTAGATTGGATGTACGCAGCCGCTCCGGGTGGGCAGAAATCAGACGTATCGGAAGATTTAGAAGAATATTTGTTGGGAAAGAAGAAGGTTGATATGAAAGATATAGACGGAGGAACGTCGGTAGACAAACTGAGAAACAACAAGGTGGACGTATTCGATAATGTCGATAGAAATGCAAATACACCGTTGGACATGATGTCAAAGCTAAGAGAAGATCCCTTATTGTCTATCAAAAAGATGGAACAGGCGAATATGAAATTGATGATGCTGCAGGCGGAAGCGAAGGTAATAAAATAATGCATTCGTTGGTTTCGAAAGCCAAACTTTATATTTTTAGCAATCTTGTGGTCTTAAGAAATTATTGCTAATCGGCTCTTCGTTCACTTCTTCCGAATGAATGATACAGTCATCTCCCAAAAGAAGCCGCTCGTCTATGAAAGACAAGTCATCGAAAAAGGAGAAATCATCGAAATCATCAAGAAGGGACAAATCATCAAAGAGGGACAAATCACCAAAGAGGGACAAATCATCAAAGAGGGATAAATCACCGAAACACAAGAAGCGAAAGTCCTCACATAGTATGGTTTCTGAATCTTATAAACGTGCACCTGCACTAAAGACTTTTAATTAGTAATAGAGATGTTCAAAGTCTTAATATGGGTCATGCGTCCCTTTGGTCGTTAATTGTACAATTGGTTTTGAAATTCTCAACGATTAATAATAGATAAGCAAAAAGAAACTGAATTCTGTTTAATAATTTATACGGATGACCTTCGATTAATGAAACAAAAAATATAATGTAAGCCTATCTAAAACTCCATGATTGTACATGTAAGCTGTAACTCATCAAGATAAGAACAAGTTTCAATGATTCGTGTCGAATTACCCAAACTTGGGAAAAGGCTGCCAATGACATTGTAAAGCAATAAATAGGTGGTGACCTGGCGTCTACTTACTATTTTCTGAACAATGACGATTGTCACTAGAATGATCTACATTTATTTTTCCCTAAATGGAATAGTTCGCAGCCAAAAGTAGCCAATAATAACGACAAATGATAAGAATAAAACAATATTAGCCATTACAATGCAGTCTTCAGAGCACTTGCACAGGTAATAATGGTAGTAATACTGATAAGTGTAAGGTGAAAGATATTAATAAGAAAAGGTCTGATAAAAACGATTTCTTCTGGACAGGCATTATCAACAAGGAAATCACGAGGAAAGTGAGGCTGATTATCAGTGTCATCTTGTTTTCAATAACACAACACGCCCAATTATCCTGAGAGTTCAACTTGCTACATAACGAACATGTCACAAAACTATGGTTCTTCGCTGGAGCGGCCGACAACGCCTTATGAATTGAGTAAGAGAGCTCGCTTTCTATTGCTTTTCTCTCCCTTTATTCACCGTGTAACAGTATATCTATTTACTAGGACGAGAATATCCTAGCAGCGACGACGAGTATGACAGTACAGGAGAAGCTACTCCGTTGACCATTAATGAACGGCGAAGCGTAGATATTGCCGAAGATTTACCGGGTAAACGCTACTAATTATATTTAGATCCGTCTACAAACCTTTAATCGGTCATGCTTTGATTGCCATTTTAACTTAGCTTTTCATCTTGATTTATATCCTTATATTACATTACACACAGCTCCATCTACGTCATCTAATTACAATAGGCGCGATCCTTGGGTTAAATTTAGGACGCGCTTACGTTATTATGTTCCAGTATTTCATTGGTTACCGTCATATTCTCTCGACACTTTCTGGAATGACTTCTTCGCCGGATTGACCTTATCTGCAATATTACTTCCATCCGGACTGTCTTATTCTATTTTGGCGAAGGTACCTCCTGTACATGGCTTATATACTACTGTAATTGCTGGTGTCATCTACTCATTCCTGGGAACTTCGAGGTGCGTTGTACGGATTTTGATCCGTTTTATTTTTTACATATGCAGTCTTCAAACCGATTTTATACATGGTCTTGTACATGGGTACTTGGAATGCGCTCACATCATAGTCTTGCATTAACATACACAGACAATTATCCATTGGCCCTGAAGCTTTGGTTTCTATGCTGACAGGCTCGGCTGTGGCTCAAGCCGGAGATGGTACTGTCGAAAATGCTGTGGCGATTGCATCACTCGTAACCTTTTTTACTGGCCTTCTTACACTTATTCTTGGACTGATTCGTCTTGGCTTTATTGATTCTGTACTATCGCGGGCTCTTCTGCGTGGATTCATTACAGCCGTGGCCATCGTGATTATTATAGAACAAATGATTACAATGCTTGGCTTAACAGAATTATCGGTCCATGTTGGATTATCTCATGCTTCTTCGACAGTAACCAAGACAATATTTATTCTAAAGAATTTAGATCAGATTCATGTTGTCACAACAGTCATATCGTTTGCTAGCTTGGCGTTCCTTTTGCTTATACGATTGATTAAGAGACTATTACCAAAAAAACCCTTTGTGCAATTCATCCCAGAATTCCTTATCGATGTGATAATATTCACTATACTCTGTGGAGCTTTTCGATGGGATCAAGAGGGCGTAAAAATCCTTGGAACTGTGCAAGGAAGTGGATTTCCCAAATTTTCCATTCCACCATATCCAAACGCAAAGACCGTTAAAGAATGTTTCGAAGCAGCCGTGTTCATATCCATCATTGGATTCGTGGAATCAATTGTCGTTACAAAAACTTACGCCACAAAACACAATTACGCGGTCAGTCCCAATCGGGAGCTGGTCGCTTTAGGAGCTGCGAATTTTATCGGGAGCTTATTCCAATGTATTCCCGCGTATGGTGGAATGGCCAGGAGTGGAATAAACGATCAAGCGGGTGCTAGGACGCAACTTGCAGGGCTGGTTACGGCCATGTTTGTGCTGCTCTGTCTGTTTTTCTTTTTGCCAGCGTTTTATTATTTGCCGAAAGCAATATTGGCGTCAATTGTAACAGTTGCTGCATTGGCCTTGCTCGAAGAAACACCGCATGATATGAAATTTATCTACAAGATCAGAGCTTGGAGTGATATGTCCTTGCTTTTGCTGACATTCTTTGTGACGATCTTTGTGTCGATCGAGTATGGGACGCTGATCTCGATCTCTTTGTCGTTACTGCTTGTAGTCAAACATTCGACTTATCCAAGGATATTTCTTTTGGTAAAGATCGAGAAACCAATTGCTCACGGAACCATCTATTCAAAGATGGTAAAAAACATATACATCTTATTTAACGATCTCTTCATTATTAGGGTCGCGTACAGGACAAATTCAAACCAATAAGAGACTTCCCCGATGAAGCCGAACACGTGGAAGGAGTGCTTGTCATTCGTATCGCTGAGCCTCTGTATTTTGCAAACACGGGGCAATTAAAAGATAGACTAAGAAGGCTAGAACAATTCGGTGATATGAGCGTTCATCCTTCAGAAGACGCCCGAATGTCCCCCATAGAATACGTAATATTTGATATCGAGACCATGGAGGATCTTGATGCGAGGTAACATACCCATACTACGAAATTTTTGAGCAATCGTGTCGATAATATATTATGTGACTGTTTATTTATCATTATTTTTGTAGTGCCGCCCAAATTCTTCTTGAAATTGTAGATGCATATCACGCAAGAGGGGTCAAAGTTTTCTTTGTTAAACTTCGCCCTAACCAGAAAAAAATGTTTACTCAGGCAGGCCTGATTAGCAAAGTGGGAGAAGAACATTTCTTCAGGTTTGTTATTTTTTTTTTTTTGCATTATATATGACAAGATGCGTCAACGATCGTTACTTAGTAATTCTGTTTGTTGGTATTTAGTCGTATCACAGATGTACTAGGATATATAGGACGGGCTGAGCAGCTTTCGTATATCCCCGGGGAAGACGTTGATGATGACCAATAATAAAAAGTGAACGCTAGGAATATTGTGTGTTGTAGCATTGTATCTATTATGTATATCAAGTATACATTCTCTATTTAAATGTATTAAAAAAACGGTTTGACATTATTCCTTTACATTATTCAGTCACGAAATTTCTGAACATCAAAATTGTTCATTTTCTACTTACAAGCAGTTATCGCAAACCGAGTCGTAATTCCTCGTTTGCCATTTTGAGTGTCCGCTTGTACATATTCATACTCTCTTCGTGCAGTTGATTTTCATACGACTTCATTCTTCTGTTCCCATGGGGGGGTCTGGAGAAAGCAGGTTTACGAATTAGATATGAAATATACGCGTGATCGCGTTAAAAGCTATTAAATAAACCGAGTAAATGTTGTCTACCGTCTTGCGTATAATTTGTCAAAAAATGCCATTTCGCAGAGATTAACTATACTTTTGTGCTCAGGTCCACCGCGTCGAGCCGCAATTTTGAAAAGCCTTTTCATGTTTTCTCCTACATGTAATAAATTATTGTTTAAGTATTCGATAATTGACAGCTCGTTATCGTATGTTAAAATTTACATTCATTAATAACCCACCTCGTTCAAACAAATCGTCTTGTTCTTTCTCGTCATCTACGTAACGGTATTCATTAAATGCCTGGCGGAGACGCCTTCTTACGTCATACACAGCCGGTCTAGAATGCAGTACCGATGCATCTCCGGCACGGATGAGTGCGCGATATAAAGAGAATACCTCAGACTTAGAACGCATCAGATGTTTTGAAAACTACCGATCTACAATTTTGGAATAAAAATGGATTCATTACTGCATTACCGCAGTACTTTGGTGGAGCTATTTGCTAGAGTTTGTAGGCGAGATTGATGAAGGTATTGGGTTTATATTGTTTGTAACAAGCTTGTAAATGCGTCTGAGATACGATAAAAGAACTTCAGTCTACAATGTATAAATAAGGTTACAATTATTATTATTAGATCTTTTAGGATAAATAAATGGTAAATGTTAGCAGGAGTAAGGTAGTCACATCAGATCTCCTGAACTTTTTGTTTACATTTAAAAAGATCGCGAAGACCCTCCCCTTGATTCTGAGGTTATCTAATATCCATATCTGTAAAACGTAAATATCTGGACTATGACTATGTTACTAGTCAGAATCATCACATTCTTTTCTCCATACTAATACCAATACACATGCGTTACTGCGCCACACGAAACCAAAAGAATACTAACTTACTATTACTCTCTTCCAAGCTCTATCTATCCACTAACAATGTCTAGTTCAAACAACTCCAGCGTCAGTGCTCCAATGGAACTGCCCTATCATCCCAGACGCTATTGAAAATAGTAAGGGTTTAATCATATTTGGAGTTGTTTTGCTAACATCTCCTTAAATTTTAGTGGGATATTTGTAGTCTATATAGACTACAAATATCCCACTTAGTCGGGACTATAACCATCCCAATGGGAATTAG